AAGCTGAAACACAGAAGCAAACAGGCAAGTGAAGAGTAGCATCAAAGCTGACAAACGTAAATATGTGGAAGATCTAGCATTGACGGCGAAAAAGGCTGCAAGAGAAGGAAAACTCGCTCACATCTATGTTAAGCCAGAACGACTTGTGAAAAGCAAAGTACACAGCAACACTGAGGAGCAGCAAATCAGATGGGCAGAGCACTTTAAGGAACTCGACCAGCCCCACTGAACCCACCAAACGTGGAAGCAGCACCCACAGACCTCCCAATTGATAATTGACCCACCAACAATTGAAGAGACCAGCACGGCCGTCAGACGAATCGAGAGTGGTGAGGCAGCAGGACCAGACAAAATTCCAGCTTAGGCACTGAAAGCAGACATAGCAGTAACTGCAAAGATGTTGTACGTTCTATTCAGCAAGATTTGTGAGGAAGAACAAGTATCAACAGACTGAAAAGAAGGATACTTGATCAAAATACTAAAGAAAGGCGATCTCAGCAAGTGTGAGAACTACAGAGGCATCAATCTTCTCTCAATACCAGGCAAAGTCTTCAACAGAGTATTGTTAAACAGAATGAAGGACTTCGTAGACGCCCAACTTCGAGATCAACAGGCTGGATTTCGCAAGGATCGATCGTGTACTGATGCTACATTACGGATCATTGTGGAGCAATCAATTGAATGGAACTCACCACTCTACATCAACTTCATCGACTACGAGAAAGCATTCGATAGCGTGGATAGGAAAACACTGTGGAGGCTTCTTCGACACTACGGTGTGCCTGAGAAAATAGTTAACATCATACGGAACTCTTATGATGGATTCAACTGCAAAATCGTGCACGGAGGAGGGCTGGCGGACTCGTTCGATAGGAAGACTGGTGTCATGCAAGGTTGCTTACTCTCACCCTTTCTCTTTCTCCTGGTGATCCACTGCATTATGAAGACGTCGACATCGGGAAGGAAGCACGGTATTCAATGGACAGCTGGACGATCTGGACTTCACAAATTATCTGGCTCTTCTGTCGCACACGCCAGAACAAATGTTGGAAAAGACGACCAGTGTAGCAACAGCCTCAACAGCAGCAGGTATCAACATACACAGAGGGGAAAGCAAGATTCCCCGATAGAGCACAACATGCGCCAACCAAATCACTCTTGATGGAAATGCCTTGGAGGACATTAACACCTTGACGTATCTGGGCAGAATCATCGATGAGTAAGGTGGATCTGATGCAAATGTGAAGACGCGGATCGGCAAAGCAAGGATAGCGGTTCTACAATTGAACAACATCTGCAGCTCCAAACAACTGTCAACCAACACCAAGATCAGAATTTTCAATACAAATGTCAAGGCAGTTCTACTGTATGGGTCGGAAACTTGGCAAACTACGAAAGCCATCATCCATAAGAAACAAGTTTTCATCCACAGTTGTCTACACAGAATACTTCGGATCTGTTGGCCAGAGACCATCAGCAACAATCGGCTGTAAGAGAGAACAAACCAGATTGTAGCGGAGGTGGAAATCAGGAAGAATCGGTGGAAATGGATAGAACACGCTGAGAAAAGCACACAACTGCTTCATAAGAAAAGCCCTCTTTTGGAACTCTCAAGGTAAAATGAAAAGAGGAAAGTCAAGAAACATTACGCCTAGTAATGGAGTAAGATATGAGAACCATGGACAAAAATTGGACAGAACTGAAAAGGGAAGCTGAAGACAGAGTAGAGTGGAGAATGCTGGTTGTTAGTTATTTTATAACTAATTGTAGTTATGTCATAACTAACCAATCAGATTGGTTAAGCGCTCACCACGTCATCTAGTCTGACTGATGTATAAACTTTCTTTGTTGTGAATGGTCCATCGATTGAAGGATGTTATCATTTTATTTATGTTGCTGTGACTCATGTTTTTTATTCATTTTCTAAAGACACGCTATACTGTCCGGTACGTTTGCTCATCCTGCTTGATAATTGTAATTTCCTTACTTATTGTACTAAATTAATCGTTTTCTTTTTGTTTAGAAACAGATAAAGTTTAAACCAAATTGTCTTCTGTTAACTATAGTTTCACTGGGGACTCTGTCATCGGCAGTAGTTGCGTTTACGTCTTAGAATTACATCTGTAGGACAAATTAAATCCTACATAGTTTCGGACAGTAATTCATCAAAAGTTCATATACTAATTGCTTTCAAATGTCCACGGAGATTCTTAAAACTGTTCAGATTCCTAAATTGTCTCCCTACCGCTCGGAAACTCACAGTGAAGACCAGTTTAGAAGAAATAGCTACCGAATAGATCCTTTGTTAGAGTTAGAATTAGCAAAAATACGTTTAGCTCATATAGAGAAGGAAATTGAGTTAGAACGCTTACGTCAAAAAGGAAGAGAATATCGTAATCCAGTTGTGGCCGTTTCCGAGAAGAAATCAAATTTGTTTATTATGGAAAGTAACAGTGAATATGATAAAATTCAGATAAACCTGAATGGAAGAAACCCTCCTCGCACTAAATCGACAGATCAGGATTTTTCTAGTTCTCCTTCTAATCATTATGTTTCTCACACAGAGGCTTCCGTTGCATCACTCAAAGCATCAAATGAATTAGCTAAGTCACCTGCCGTTCTATCAAGTTTTGCTATAGCTAAGAAAGACATTCCATCTGATTGTGTTCTCGGATCAAATATTTCATCAAGCGTTGTGAATGCTGATGTGTCGAAAGATGCTTCGGTTAATTTATGGACATCATCATCTACAAGTCATGATTCTGCTTCGTGTCCTTTTACTGCGTTGGCTAAAGTTGTTACAGCTTCTCAGACAGACTGTAAGGATTCGAAAAATCTAGAAGATTCTGCTAAGGAAGTAGTTGAAGATAAACGGGAAGAAACGTTAACTTTAGCGGAAGTCGACCTAGTTGCAGGTGAAAGAGAAATGCCAGTTATTCGACAGCATTGCCGAGCTCATAATTCCGATGCTAATAAACAGAGGTGTAATAATCTTGGACCTTTTCATTTCGAGTTAAATGATGTACACAACAACGGTGCTGAAAAGAATAAAGAATCTCTCTGCAGGTCACGGATAGTAGTACGTTTAGTGTATAAATGCAGACTGTTGATTAATACTCTCAGTTGGTTACAAATGCCTGCTGCTCTAGTTGACTCACGAACTTTGAGAATGGTTGCAATTAATGAGGTGGGTAGTTATGTAATGGCTGCATGGCGCAACGACTTCCAATGTCTTGCTGAGGTTCTAGCCCATCGTCAGCGACATGGTACAAGAGCAGAGTATCGCATACGTTATATTTGGGATCGCGTTGTAGAATGGACACCCGTCAGCAAGTTACGCAAAGCAACTCAGTACGAAATCGATTATGTCTTAAAATTCTGTAAAGAGCAAGGTACACTATCCACAAATAAAATCCCTAGTAAATTTGATCTGCAGTATTCATGTAGTAGTAGCAATGATTCTGCATCAGGAACATCTCAAGCTAAAAGAATAAGGACAAATGTGTCAGAAAGCAAGTCAATAGACCGCACTTCGGATCCTGAAACACATCGCTATCGGTCACGTCCTACTCATGTAAGTACAAGTGGTTTCTCTGTCTTAGAAGACAAGAAGACTCTTCTTCCAAAATTATTTGATGAAATCATCGAACAGGATGGGATGGTTTGTGATAAGAGTGTTTTCCAGTTTCACGAAGCCTGTCGAAGACGTCGTGAATTGAAAAGAAAAGCTATCGAAGAGAACGACACATGTCCATATAGATTCGACAGTTCTGTATCTGTTTTGAGTCAAACATTCACCATCAGGTCAAACCATCAGAACAGACTTGGTCTTAATTCAAAACATAATTCTATAAGAACCGAAAATTATGCAGCGGAAGCTACAGTAGCATCTTCACCGGTATCATCGAATTCATTTTGCCAGAAAAGTGATGAAATAAAAGGAAACATTACCCTATGCGGACCCAACGATGTGTAAAAACGAACGCTGGGAGTAGAGCGGAATATCCGAGCGGATGAATCATTTGTCAGAGTTCACGTGTTTCCTGGAAACCTGACCAGAAGGAATATTTTGTCGTTTATAGCATTAATCTTTGATCCCGGAGGAGGTATATGGAAACATATCATAAAGTCAACGAGAAGGAAGCCACAACATGGAGACTCACCGTTAGTAAACAATACTAGTTTGCTGAGAAATCTTTGGGTGGAAGCTATAGTTAGAGAAGTCAATTATGGTCCCGATGGCCGATTCAGAATGATTCGATTGAAGAGACACCGTAGACATCAACCGAGATATACGAAACCTATGCCTAATGGAAGAGGTCGATTATTCGAGCGCGTCGGCAACGAGGTCTGGACGTGGTGACCGCTTCGGGGGGAGTGTTAGTTATTTTATAACTAATTGTAGTTATGTCATAACTAACCAATCAGATTGGTTAAGCGCTCACCACGTCATCTAGTCTGACTGATGTATAAACTTTCTTTGTTGTGAATGGTCCATCGATTGAAGGATGTTATCATTTTATTTATGTTGCTGTGACTCATGTTTTTTATTCATTTTCTAAAGACACGCTATACTGTCCGGTACGTTTGCTCATCCTGCTTGATAATTGTAATTTCCTTACTTATTGTACTAAATTAATCGTTTTCTTTTTGTTTAGAAACAGATAAAGTTTAAACCAAATTGTCTTCTGTTAACTATAGTTTCACTTGGGACTCTGTCATCGGCGGTATTTGCGTTTACGTTATAGAATTACATCTGTAGGACAAATTTAAAATCCTACACTGGTCGGCGGCCTATGCTCCATTGAGGGTGATAGGCGTAAGTCATAACTCAAACAAAATTCTGAAGTATATAATCCATTCTATGTTTGATATTTTGAACTAATGTATACCTTATTCAGTAAGCTTAGGCCAATAAAAGGCATTGGTTTTAATAGTTGGTCTTTCGTTCACCCAGGTTCCGCGTAATCTCGAAACTCAAGCGTACCTATTCCCTCAAAATGGATTACCTGTCGTTCTGCCGTGGTGTACTGATCGGAGGTTTGATGGGAGACTGTTATGGATTTGTGTATGAAGGCAAACCTGCAGTAAAGTTCACGATTCCTGTAGAATTGCTACAAAATTCAATCGATGGCCGTGTGTACAAATTTCCAGTTCTTAATTTTTGTCTTTAGTTGATACTAAGCAGTTGATGTACAGCGATGATACACAAATGGGTCTTGCGATTCTCAGGTCATTAAGGGCTAGAAACGATTTTGATGCAGAACATTTGGCTAAAGAGTAAGTACTAGTGGCTTTGTCATTCGAATTTTGAATTCATAAGAAAATATTGAGAACCTGCCTTCGTTATCTAATGTGTGGTACTTAATTTCTAATTATAGCAACTTACATTGATCTTATTCGACCGCCGCCGTACCTACAAAACTGGTTATATTTTCTACGAGTTTTGATAAAATTATTAAATTATCCTGTGATCGGTTGACAAAAGATATTTTTCTTAACGCGGATGCTATTGTAGAATATTACAGTGAGGACATTCTCACTTATATGGATAAAACAAAGGAAAAGCAAATTTTTGTTAGGGTAGAAGAGGCCTACTTTTGCTCAAATATTCGCAAACCGTATATGTAGTGTTTAAACTGTTATGAATTCCTGCCAACCAATGATTCACTTAGAGTCACCCACAATATCTTCGCTACATAAAATAATGGAAACTTTCTGATGTGTATCTCGAAAAGTATGTTTCCTTTCTGGCTATTTACTGTATTCGCTATCTTTCTGTAATGCATTATCATGTAGCTCACTTTATATCGATCTCAATATATGAGATTGTTTATTGTTCACCCCTGATTCACCATTCACTTTTCTGTTTAATTTGAACTTAAACTACTTTCTGTCACAACATCTATGGAATAATTTATCATGTTTGCTTGTAATGGTTTGTTCCATGTTTGTAGGTTCACAACTGACTATTTTGAAAATGGATCACATAGGTGTTATGGTGGATCTGTTGGACGTATATTTTCCTCACTTAAGGAGGTTAATTATAAAAATCCATATACTTATGCAGAGAATATATTTAATGGGACAGGATCGTATGGTAACGGTGGGGCTATGAGAATAGCACCTGCAGCATTATATGGATTGCAATATTCTGAACGTGAATTTGAAGTGAGCTGTCCTTCAATCAACTATACTTGCTGTTATATGTATGCTAGTTGCTTATGTACTTATAAATAATACTTTCGAACTGGCAGAAAATTTACTACAGGAAAAAAGATTAAGCAACATGTATCCTAAAAACAAAATGTTATGAATTTGAAAAAGCCTCAGTTAGGTTTGTAAGGTATTGGTCTAATCCTAAAAAATAACCACTCACATAAAAGTTTTAGGCTATCATTATCTAACAAGCGTCTCATTGGTTCCGCGATTACTCTTCCAGTTCACTCCTAGTCCGGTTTTTTCTACATATCTCGTTAGAATGAATATCGATATAATAAGTACAGGTTAACGTCAAATATTATTAACGCCAGAATTCAGGTTATCCCATAGGAGGTATATTGTAAACATTTGCTCGCGGATAGTTGAATTCCCATCTATACTTCTCAGTTAGATGATAGAGATTTGCAGCTCAGTTGGATTTTTGATGTTGCCAAGTTTCTTAGCTAAATAGTTTAGTTTCAGGACTCAGAAAACGCATCAACAACAAACTACTTTTTAATTTTATATCACGTTATGAACTTTTTTGGTATTGTGGATTCTCACTACTAGTGGGTCTCATACTAGAACGAAGCAGATGTCTAATGCTTCATGTCTCATGATAGTTGTCTTACGGAAATCATGTAGTGGTGGGAAACTTCAAATTCAATGATTTTCATAACTCTTTATATTTACAATTATTTTGGTTAATTACTCGGCGTTGTCATATCCTACCAAAAGGTACAATAAGTAATGCACATATTTCAGATTATAAATTTCTTTAAAAATTTGTTTTGATAAAAGATATAACTGATGTTCATTCATTGACAAGAAACTTTACTAGCTGTGATACAAAATGGATATTATAAGACTAAATAGAAGCTTTACTTTGTTTTAGAAAATGCTTTTCTGTGTTGTTGAGAGATAGATTGTTTATGAAATTTTAAGTTTTAAAGTTCAGTTGAAACTTAATTCACCTAGATTTAGTCGGCTTTAGGCATTAAAAAGCTAACCATACTCCAACTAAACCATCACGTGGTTTTAAACCATTATCTTCCGATTTATATATTCATCTTAAAACTGGGAAACATCATTTTATAGACCAATACCTAACTTTATCATTATATTTCAGAGACTGATTATCGATGTTACTCGGTTAACGCATACGCATCCATTGGCTATATGTGGTGCACTTCTACAAGCATTTGCTGTACAAATGATTTTCTCCTTAACTCGTGATCATTTACAACTGGATTGTTTAAATTTCATCGATAACTTATTGGCAAGATTAGAGAAAACAGAATATTTTGTCAATTTTAAGCATCCCACTTGGTTAAAAGCACTTGATGCTTATAAAAAGAAATTAGAAATAGTTAAATATCTTTTAGCAAATGATAAACAACCATTAGTTACAGATATTGTGAATCAGTTGGGTAGGTTTACTTTTTCACAAGAATGATTTCTTTTGCCTCTATTCTATACGTAAAGATATTTTTGATGATCAGTTTTATTCAAATTTCCAGTATTAATCCTGTAGAAGTTTGCTTTTCATAATAATTAGACAAACACTCATATAAGGCGTAAAATTTTCTAGACACTGTTTGAATAGATCTGGGAATAGAACTCAATACGTCAATACTAGTTGACGTACGTGTATAAATCAAAAGTATTGGCTTGGAACAAATTCACTATCAGTATTGACGTCTAAATTGGAAAATTCTGTAATCTCTAGTCAACAAAAAAATACAACATATGAATATTAATATCCTTACTATTACAGTGTGGAGATTCGAACTGATACATATGTATGCAGTTTCTACGTTTTCTATGAGTGACTGTTTAATTACTGTTGAATTTGATGGATTCATTAAAAAAAACCAACCAATATCCTTGTTATATTGTTACATTTTTCTTGTAAGACTTAAGTATGTAGCGCCCCATTGTATATCGCGTAAAATGAGAAGAATTCAACTGACAGTTACTTTTATGTGAAACAGATAAAAAATGTATTTCTTAAGATATTTTATAGGAATATCTGTTTATTTTGTGAAGATGCTTTTCTTTATAAACTGGTACCGGCTGAAGAACTGTTGGCGATCGAAAGGCTTTAAATACTTGTTTCATCGCGCAGTCTAGTACTCCTTGACAGTGCACATTCAAAACCTCACACTATATTCAGCTTAAATATCTTACCAAAGCCCCTGACTTTACTTGTTACTTTGCAATAGCTTTTCTAGTTGATGTCTATTTATGATGAAACTATCCCCCAAAGATAATAATGGTTTATAGGTTTTAGTTTACATATGCAATAAGGTTTTAGGGCATTCAGATTGTGATTCGATCAGTCGAAATATTTAAGCGAGATATGGCTAACATTATAATTCCTGTTAACAAACCAATATCTACATTCAATAATAAACAAACACTTTTTTTTAATTAATACCCACATTTTATTAATGTCATTTATGAAAGTAGTTTTCTATAGTCAAAAGCAATTAGAAAATTACCAGCACACGAGACCAAATTGGTCAAAATCAAATCATTCAGAAAATTACTGTGAAATAAATTTCATAGGATATACTCGCTGCTTACATTTTTTTTAAATTCTAGCAAATATACGGTAACAATTTTCGTTAGTAATCGGTAGGTTAGCTTCACTAAGAAAATGCAGTATTTCTATAAATTTCAAGAATTCTGTTATCTAAAACAACTTCAAATGGATATCCTATATTTAGTCACTTTGTACTTCCAGAGTAATACAAAGTTCACTTTTAAATATATATATATATATATTCGTAACTAATAATTTTTTTATTTTCTGTTAAATTCTAGGCAATGACTTGAAAGCCATCAACTCTGTTCCAACTGCATTATACGTATTTCTGCGTAGTTTAAAACCTATAGATGGAATTGAGTTTAGTGTAAGAGATTTTTGTTCATTTTTCTGCTGACATATTATTACTATTGTGTTATGTTATTTAATTCACTATTGATTCAATGCTATTCTGTCAATATTGTGAAGAATATTTACATAGTGAGGCGGTCACCCATCAATGCTTAAAACCCCATAAAAGAATCCAACTCACAACATCCAGTTCTCCTGGTGAATAATATATTTTCAGATTATCAAGTTAAAGTCCAATTGATCTTATTCCTAGGGTTTCTAAGGGTAGTCTTTATTATTCCATAATTTATTATTAGTTAACTGTGCAGTTTCGTAATTATTTCAAATAGTTAATAATCAGAGTTATCCTCTCAATGCTGTACTGTTTCATTTTATACAATGTGATATATATATATATATATATATATATATATATATATTGATTTGTTTTCACTTTGTCTGCCTCTTTTCTTAGTCAGCTCCTCTACGTTGTATTGTCTTATCAATTGGACTAGGTGGTGATACGGATACCATTGGTTGTATGGCTACTGCATTAGCTGGTGGATATATTGGCATTCCAGTTGACGTCAATTCAACTGTACCAAGAAACATTATTACACGTTGTGAACAGTACGGTGAACTTGAAGAATATGCTAGTTGGTTAAGTAATAGGCTAAAAATAAAATAAAATTTCATCATTATAATATGGCCAACCTGGAAAAAAAAGAACCCACTAAATAATCAAGTACCATTCAATCTAATCATACTGATGTAAAAATTAATTTTCAACTGAGTTTTTTTTTCATTGATATAATTCTGTGATTGAATCATTTGAATTAATTTATAATCTTCACTAAGTCTTTATGAAATTTATTAAATGATTTTGTATAGAAATCACTGAAACCTGCATCATAATTATCTTTTATTTATGTTGATGCCCTTAGTGAATTTCCCATACTCTCAATCCCATTTGTAGCTGTCATAAAATATCGTATTTCTTAGTGTTATGTACTGATTATTAAGCATATAATACATCACTCAAAAATTCTTCACTTCAAGTCAGTCAGTCAGTTGCAACGTAAGAACTTCGTACGTAAGTACATCAGTACATGTTGCCATACCACATGAGCACAGAGTCGCAAATGTCAAATCAAATACCATGGTGATAAAGATAGTAGGGGTATTGATGGTAATAAAGAAGACTAAGGTTCGAAGATATTATTCAAGAAGTATAATTCAGTGAGATAAGGTTAGAAAGACAAAGGTAGAGGTGCTGACGAATCCAGAAGATTAGGATTTCAGAGTGCTCAAAGAATGGATGCACTTTACCTTACTAGCAGATATCACTACTGTTTCCATAGCCTTCTTGATATCATTCCAACCTGACTCCGGATGGGGATCACTTGCATGGTCGCCTAACCGTTTTTCTAGTTCCTCCTGAAATATTTTCTTAGCTTTATTATCATCAAGTAAACCCCTAAAATGCTTCCTTACGGTGTCTTTCCTACGTCCAGTAAGCCTCAAACAAATACGCGCTCCAATATGGCATGATCTGAATCTAAACATGTGCCCCAGAACGAGCGACAGTCCTCTATCGAACCCCTCCATCGGTGGCTGATGGCGATGTGATCTAGTTGCGTCCAATGTTGAGACGGCTCCGGGGGTTGCCAGGTCAAAAGATGTTTTTTCTTATGCTTAAAATTAGTGTTTGCTAGAAATAGTTGGTTATCTGAGCACAGTTGCGAAAGACGGTCGCCATTATAACTATATCAGAGCGCTTAACTTTTTGGAGGAGGTCCGAAAGCTTTCTGTAAAACTCATCTTTTGCATCGTCTGAACTGCAGTCAGTGGGGGCGTAAGCTGATATGACGAAGAGGCAACAACCAGTGTCCCTATCTTTCCGAGCCCTTACTGTCTCGTATAGTCGGACGGCGCACAAGCGACTATCTACTGGGATCCAGTCAAGAAGAGATTGTTCAGCTCTACGACTCAATGCTATACCTACACCAGCGAGACCCCTGGAAGCAGCATCAGGGCTACCGGATACACGAAGAGTAAATCCAGTTGCTTTTTTATCTTGATATGGTGAGATCAAGTGAATGATGCTACTCGGATCCTGTATGCGCGTTTCCGAGACGCAGCACACATCGATTGAGCGAGATTCTAAAGTCCTAGCTAATGGTGCCTGTTGCTTTATTTGACACAATGTCCATACATTGAATGCTCCAACATGTAGTTTAGAACGAGGTTCAAGGAGACCAGGAATGACGTTTCGTGAGCTCGCATCGTTTGCATTAGCTGTGCACTGTGATAAATGAATTTGAGAAGAGTTAGTCGTGGAGATAAGACATGTATTAGGGCGTGTAGGAAGGATTTGATTTTGAACAATGAGGTCTCGTGTGCTGTTGCGGGTATGAGGGCGGTTATCACTTCCCGGCTGCCCACACCGTGGAAGGTTGTTTCTTGAGGGACCTGAAAAGGAAGGTAGATTAGTGTTGGTCTTGGAGACCTGGGTGCGTGACCGCAGAGTCCAAGGGACAACTGCTTGAGGCCGGTCACGCACGGCCTTTTTATGAGACATTTTTTGAGTGTTAGCTCCGCTCTTAAAAGCCCTTAGCGGGCACCTTTACCGCCGGAGTCGGAAATCCGTGAGGTAGGGTGAGATGTGACATTTTTAGGGTCGACCTTTTCTAACTCTTCCTTCCTTCCTTGTGAGAAGTTAGCATCGCTGCAGATGCTGCTTGTCCAAGGGAAACAACTTACTGCTGTCACACCCCTCCACCACAGTCAGCAGTACGACTTCGCCCTCAGACCTTGAGTAGCTGCTTTTAGTCTAATCGTTCTCCAATCGACCTGTCTGGCTTGGTAGAACCTACAGGAACATATGTTCCAGCCAATATAGCTCGGTTGGGTCATCACGATAGGCAAGCCCGACCACCACGTCAAGGTAGCAGCTTCGGTCGGGCTTCACTTCAAGTATACTGTTAAATTTGTTAATTTTGCTAGTAAGGGAGTAGTAGTATTGGATAGTTTGTATGCTGGGATTATCAGCTGTTTTCCATTTGGATAACTGATATGTATATATGTATATGTACATTTATTCTTGTTGTTTTTCTGACATAGTCAGACAATTTCCTTGTCATTTGTCCAAATATGAAATAAGATAGTTGAAGTAATTAATCTGGCAAATTGTATTGTATCATTACCAACTATCTTTTATGTCGTGTCGAATAACTCCGGGTTGTTCTGTTAACTAACGGTTTTTGCTTGCTTCTCTAACTTTCTTAATTTACACTCACATTTTCACTGATTGATAATCATAGTTAAATTAAGACCCGAAGTTGAGAATGCATGGAAATTTGTATTAAGTTCAGCACATTTCTAGGACAGAAGGAAAGCGATTAACTTAAAACCAACAAACACCGAATCATACACTTCATACGATGTTGTACTATTATACTTATGGTCATTTAGAGCAAGTTACTGTCCTTTTAAATGAAGATACGTAATCATGAGTTATTAGAAGTGTTACAACAATTCGCGAAGTAGTATTTTTGAAAGTGTTTCTTCATTTAATGGTCATGTTTTGGAGTTAGAAGCATTCTTATTTTCATTTCCTTTACTAGATAGGTGTGCTCATCAGTATTAACTGGTGTATTTGGATAGATCATTGTGATTTACTGCATTTTGATTGATCATTTCTACATTTTGGAATCACCATCATATGTTTGGTTTAACTTAATGAATCCTAGTTAGAAATAAATTGTTTACTTTTTTGGCTCTTCTAGAGTAGACTAACTGTAGGATTTTTTTTCATAGCTACTGTTTGGTACACTTTAGAATCTGCTTCTTTATATTTCTGTATTTCCTATTTTGCATCCGTCATGACGAGTTCGCATGTTCTTGTTCGTTTCAATTGATATCTAGATCGGTATTTGTTACGCTTGCACGTAAACGCGTCAACTTGATATACTTGAACTATTGCGAGTTTACCTAGTCGGAAAACGAGAGCGACGATCGAGGATCCGGCGACATACTACTCAAATCCGATTATCCCAACCCCCATATTGAGTAAAAAATAAGAAGACGTGATATGAAGTAGAACCTGTATTCTACAAGCATCCAGAAAGTACGAGGTCCGAATCCAGAAGAGAATCAGGATCCCGGACTATGGATCCGGGTCCTGGTCCTAAAACGTTACAGATAATGCGTATTTATACATTTTGGTCGTATAGGAAACAACATTGGAGCACGTGACATTGATATCTAGGACGACCATAAAATTGACCAGTAGGAATTAACCAATGGGAATAGACCAATACTTCTCTTGGGATATTGGATGAATATCCTAACAAAATTAATGTTTTAATAGTCTGTAAAGACGCCCGTTAGTTCCCATATAATCCTTACTCAAAATTTATGGAAACTACATTGCATATCTTACATTTGCGTTTACTAGTATGATGAATTTTTATTAATTTTAAATAATTTAACTGTCGATCAATGCACCATTGGACAATGATATAGTTAGCATTGCTTTTATACATAGAAACAAAAAAGAAGATTTGGATACAAGGTTGATGATATAATCGCTTATGCAATGTTCATTACCAACTACTGAGTAATACACTCAGCACCATTAGTGACGTAAAGGAGAGTAAATTAACAAAGCTTCATCAGGTCCAAATTGTAATTAATGTTAATGAACAAAACGACATATCTTGTGATTTCAAATACATTAAAATAGTTTATTACAGTTCTACATAGTTGTTGAATTGAGAGATTACTATTATAAAGCAGTTTACCGAAAATTGAATAATTAAGTTCGACCGAATAAATATCAGAGATACCTATCTTTCACGTTGATGGTCTTTTTCAAATTTGTTATTTCACTTCATATGTCCAACGTACTGAACTCGACAAAAATGTTCAATTAATATATCAACATTCGTGTTGGGATATGATGTATGCCCTATTCAACTAGTAAAATAGATCCATATATTAGCACTCTGTAAGACATCCCTTCAACTAAATTCATATTTAACGAAATTCGAGATATCAGTTTCATTATTAATCAGTGTTTTGGACTGCGTAACCGAGCCCAACTAAACACAAGACTTTAGGTCTGACGGCGAGCGCGTGACATTTGAATTATCGTGTCAACATCCAGTGACTTCAGTTTTATAACTTAGAACCATTCACAATAATGCGCACTGGCGTTGAAAGCTGGTCACACATGCTTGTTAAAGCATTTATATTTTGAAAATTAATGAAGTTCATTCGAATAGTAGTTCAAATAAGTAAAATGTGATAATTAGAAATAAAGGAGAGAAAAGTAATATAATAAGTCAAAAAAAGTCACACGAATCTAGTTATTGCAATAAATTGAGGATTATCAAAGTAGATCCAAGGTTAAACTGCTTTTCTACATATCAAAGAGACTTCAACTTTCTAATGGCCAAGGCTACTGCAATTATAAGAATGCTTCATCGAGAAATTTCACATGAAGATTTGAAAGATAATGCAAGGTCGACCTTATGGGCTGCTTTAGTTGTTTGTTCAATACCAATTACCTCGATTTTCTCCTCTCTGTTTTTATCGGGCATGAGACGCTAACTAATTCATATACCATTTATTTATGTACGATCCACTGTTTTCAGTTTTAGCATAAAAATTATGCTACTTGATTCCCCTCTACATAGTAACATAACATTCGAAGCGGAATTAAATAGGAGGTTCAATGTTTATTGACTTTTACATCGATCTAAAAACGTCTATGTTTACCGATTTCATAACACTGCCTCAGTTGGCAGTGTAGTACCTTCTCCACTTCTAAGATTCATCGGGTTAATCTATCAATTTTAATTGGCCTGCATTGCATTTTAAAACCAATATTTCATCTTAATTTGTAATTATGTACATAGATTATTGATTGCCAGTATTGCAAAAGTGACATATCAACTTACTTTCCATAATATCATATTAAAAATTTGTAAATTTACCAGTCAGAAATGATGAAGATCCTCAAACTGTAAAAGAAACAGCTGTTATACACAATGGTTCTCAATAATATTTTAACTGAGAATTCAATTTAATCAGGAATAACGTCCACTCATTTTTACCCAAACGAAAACAATTAATAAGAATAACTAGTATATAACTACATAGGAATAAGAGAGTTAATTTAACTGTTACCTTTAAATAACCGATGTAAAACACTAAATATATCAAAATGGTGATAAGATTAAAATACGAAATGTAGATGGGTTATAACCTAAGTTGTATATTTCATTCATTCAAAAGAAGAGGTTACACAAGACAAATGACACATAAATACTGTGTTGTAAAATGTAAACATGCTCCTTAAGAATATTTTAGGATCTATTTAATGAAATAAAAAGTTCAGATCGATAAGATAATCAAGTTTATACCAGTTAATAATTAATCTATTAGGTTGCTAGTAAAGGTCAGGTAACAAGCTAAGGAATAAAACTATCAGTCTGTTAGAAGTACACTAATATTGTGGTTGACTTTTTTTCAACAATTACTGTCAAGGTGAGAAAACAATTTTTGAAAATATGTCTGTATATTTCGTATATACCGACTAAACAGTTGGTTAATGTTATCTTTATGTCATCTTAATTTTAGGCTCACATTTGATTTCTCAAACGTTGATGCTAGTCGTTCATAAATCACTGTTAGTGAACCTTAACTTTGTTACTCAATTTTGTTTTAGCAATGTGGTTTTATACTTCACAAAACTGTTTTACAATAATCAGGAATTAGCCTAAATGACTGAGATTGTGAGTGGTGTTACAAATTATTAATACAGTAATTATCGTTCAAATCTTGGATTTCAGATCTACTTTATGAATAGTTTCACAAAACACATGGACAAAATCTGAGACTAACTTAACTTCCTTTCTTATACCAGAATTTTAAAATCTGGATAACATTAACACCCCGCTTCAGTTTGAATGAAGTTTAAGCGAATTCCAACATAAGCTATCACAGTTTACAACAATGCGTTATTTACCTGAATAGGTATTTATAACCTCTATTTTACCAATATTCGACAAATAACAAGATAGGTATGATATTGAATGTTCATAATTGTTGTTTCAACAAATTTTAAGCAGTTCATTTGATGCAAAAGAAATCTCGTGCATGAAGGAATATTACTAACATATTTCGATTTTTAAAAATCCATTAAATTTTACATTATGAATTGACAAGCACTTGTTTATTGAATTCATCAGTTTTTCATTTAGTATCGAATAGCAACGTATCACATCAAAATTCGAAAACATACCTTTCATCTCCAGTAGTCTGTTCATAATAAAAATTACTGGGACATATATTATGTTTAAGTAACACATTCCACGTTAGATAATATTATTTATAGATGCCCCTTCATTACTAGTTACCAGTAACTGATAATCGTTTCAAATAAGTTGAACATTATCAAACGGCATACTACAAACCATAAAGATTCCAGAACTCTTAAAATATTGACTTGGAAAGTAACAACTGATAATCATTGAATGGCGTTGCATAAGAGAAAAACTAAACGTCTAGCCAAAATCCATTTGACAGATATCTAAAACGTCTAGATATGGTAATTTTATCAACTTGCCACTCCAGTTTATGACCGATTACTTCCTTACACCTGTTACCACTAAAGGAGTATAGGCCACCAACCAACTGTGTAGTAAGCCTTCCTTCCCAGTCCCATCCAATCACTATCCATCCATTTCATGTTTGAAAAATTGCGACTTTCGTATTTGTTTTGAGTTTCAGTTGTTATTCAGCTGTAGAAATGCTGTATTCGCTCTATCGATCTGCAACTTCACATCTACATTAGATTCTCCTTATTTATCAAAGATTCAACCCAGATACGTAACAGTATCCATATCTCCCAAGTGTGATTTGAAGGGTGCATGTTCTGATGTATCGTGAGAGCTTGCTTTTTTCCTTGTGTATATTGAGCCTACTGCTGCAGAGGATGCCGCAACATTGTCTTTTGGTGGCTGTGATCAGCTCGAATGAGGGATGGTCATTTTAGTGACCCGCGATTTGATTTCAGTTTAGATAAATGATCGAGTATGCGATGAAATAAATCTTCCTGTACATTTCCGTATACTAAATTTAGGCGAACCCCATTTCTGCGACGGTTGTAATAGGAAGCCAAATATAGTTTTGCCGATAAATCTAATCCATGCATTCATTTCAACAGACATATGAGAACGAACAAGCAAAGCATGGCAGAGCGGATTGGAGAAGGCGTTTGAACTGAATCTAATGCCCGGAAGCATGACTAAGGTAATAATAGGCTAGAGATGTGCCAAGCGAGTGAGCATAGACACATACAATCAAATAAAAAAATTCCATACTGTTATTAAACTATAAAAAATTGTCGATAGCAATATCGTATAATTTGAACGACTAATCATTGAAGATAGTATAATGAATGATGAGGTTCAACAGACTGTCTTCTGAATGTTATTTCTTGTGGGGTAGAGGAGCTAGATCATTCGCGAAGACACAATACTGAAGTGAGATAGCAAATCAATTCATGATTATGAATCTCAAATGGTTGAGATTGCTGGGAAATATATATGCCAAAGCTATGTCAACTGAACATTGTTTTGTTGAAGCAGGTACTAGGTCAGCCAAACCAAATTGTGGAGTCAGTCCATAAATCCATTTCCTATTGGTTCGAGTTATCGGTAAACAAAGACTATCTGATTAAGGTGTGCGTGCCTCATGGAGATATTGTTCAGTAATGATTACAGTAGAGCAGATTTACGTATTCGTATTCTATTCGATCTAAATCCTAGCAAATTTTCAGTTCTGCCGTTTTGTCTTCTCGAATCATTTAGCCTTTCCCATTGTCATTACTGAAATTTATTTAATATTCATTCTGTTAATCGCCTCTTGTCAGGATCTTGTAGTATGTCAATTTAAGCTTACACACATTCATCCTAGGCTCGTTGATTACAACTGATAAATCCGATTTTTTCCTAGTTTCGTAGCCGCTTCATTAATAGGTTGAAATAAACATAAGCCCCGAAATAATGAAACATGAATCATAAAATTTTTGTATACAACCATGGGGAATAATTCACTCACGTACAAAAATGGATGAGTGTTACATGTGATACACACACAAGTATTGATGAAGTTACACAATTGACAAAAAGGTGTAATTTACTCAAAGCCAAAACTGAATTTATCACTTACTAAATGAACCAGATTCTTTTCACCATATTTATGGCTTTTGATTCTTTATTTATGGTAGGATTTTTAATTTCAATTTAACGTATAACATAAATGTGGAAATACACAAAATCATCAGTAATAACATAATTAGTGTGTATACATTATTAACATAAAATTAATGACGCACGAACATATAAAATAGTACAACTACATAGAAAGTTCAATTTTTTTTGTTTAGTTGAATACAACAGGGACACTAAAGCAACAATAAAAATTTATATGGTAATATAGTCGATCACTCCACAGAAATATAAGAACATTAAAAATTGAATGTAACTGAAATTAGCTGGTAAAACTAGAGATAGTAAAAAGCACATATCATATTGAATCATATGAAAGATGTAATATGAAGGATAGCTACATAATATGGCTATGTGAATAACGAGTATACCATCACGTAAGAATGAATGAAATGAGTTTGTTTTAAAACTTGACTGCACATAGGTGTCTTAAAATTGAAAATCCTAATTGGTTATAAAATAAATAATAATTATGACCGGTACATAAAAAAAATTAAACAATACAGATTAAAAAGAAAACGAGAGAAGAAAAAGATATTGAAAAGAACATATTTTTACCTTCATATAGAAGAATTCAGAGATGACTAATGAAAAAAAATCACTTTAGCACTTTACGAATAACGTATAGTTCAATTCACTTTCCGAAATAATATGAGGAATAAAATACAAAAGCATACGAAAGACAATTATATAAATATAAGTAGCATAAAAGATTGGTTTATTGTAACAGTGGTAATGATTAATTAGAACGACGAATAAGATTTGCACAAACAAAGCATGTACATGTTTCTGCACACTGGATAGATGGAAAATATGGAACAAAATTGTCAAATGCTAATTGAGGATAAGCATCAGCGACACTCAAAAATGCACTACATTAAAAATAGACAAAAAATTTACAGGTAAGAATAGTCAGTAGAAAAAAAAATTCTTCATTACAATAGAAATTAGGAAATAAAATCATTGTAAATATTTTTATCTAAAAATTATCAGGACCTATTAAGTGGTAACGCATAAGTATTGGATACTGAATATTCTCTTTTATTTATTATGTTATATTTATTGAAAAGCTAGATAGATATAGAGTGCAATTTTTGTGATCGATATCAGATTGCAGAAGCCATTTGAACTAAACTCTAAGAGAAATATAACATGTCTTATTAACATAAGCGTTGCTTATTAGTTATGTTTGGAATTGTGTGCAGCAATGAAACCTTGCATTTTTATGATAGATGCGTTTCCGTGAACAGTGGAAAAATTTAGTCTCATGACATTGTCTGTCAATGCCGATTTAGAATAATACAGTAATTAATTACTGCAGTCAAACTGTGAACTCACTTTGAACTCATTAGATAATGCGTTATATGTTAATTTTCATTATATGAAAAGGATCGCCATCAGCTTGACCGCGTCGGACTATTAGGCTATATGCTAAGCTTTTATATTTAATGACTACGGGACAGTACTAACGGATTAAAATGTTAGGAGTTCGATTAATTGTTTAAAAAACAGTAACTCAAATGTACTTACCTTAAGTAAAACAATAGGACTTTATTACACTTAAATTTCAACATTACAACAATAGTTTTGTTTTTACACTTCGCAATGAACTGCCAAAATTATTCATCTGAGCTACAAATCTTCACCATCAACTTAGTCAAACTTCAAACGACACCTGTACTAAACAATCTAACAGGCAATTTTATTCAACCGAAGTTTAGGCTGAAGAACCCCAAACAATTGTTAAATAATTTAACACAATGTACTACACTTAGATAACATTAACTTACCTCGAACAATATTTGGTAACAGACTGGCGACGCAAATAATGACCTCCGGGTGAGACACAACGTGAGGTTTGCGGATTAGATGGATCTTCCACATCAACATCAATCATTTGAACACTCTCATCATCTTTTTTTATACTTAGATTGGTAGGCTGATCAGATGTATTGGCATTTCCAACAGCCAAACGTCCACCACGAGCAACTTCGGCTATCAGTCGTAAAGCTATTGCATGGTAACGTAATGCAAGAGGAATTAGACTAGCCTCTTTATAACCCGTTATATGCTCCAAAATTGGAGGCCATAATGGTTGTCGTTGTTCTTCCTCTAATCGCAGTGCTTCGAGATCAGATTTGATTGAAGGATCTAGGCCATCAAATATATGGTTTTCAGCGACGGAATCAAACACAGAGGTTGAGACACTGTGACTGTGACTACTCGGTGTAGAATGAGGTGCACGCGTAAGTGTTGAAAAATTTATGCATTTTCCTTCATTGGATGATTCATCAGAATTATCACTTAAGGGAAGAAAAAGAAGCTTATGAAGTGAAATCGCGTCAAAATGAACAATAAAATCAGAGTATATATCTCATTCAAACTACTTGGAGATAAACAGTAATGCCAATATTTTGTGTTCTATATTCAAAATATTAAGAAAAACCAAATGCAACCAGTTAAGCATTATAGTAATACATGAGATTATTGAGATCTTCACATTGATACTCAAAACGATTCTAACCTATGAAAAACTTAAAAACATTCCCACACTGGAATTTCATCAAATATATGAATTAAAAAGTTTTTATGACTTCTTTATACTGAAATCAAGATACCTTTCGATAAGAAATAAGAAAAAACAATCCAAGATTTTCCTGATGATATCTACTAAACGTAAGGTGAGTAAAAATACATGGATCAAGAATATTATATTTCAAGATTGTGATGCAATTTTTTAGTGACATGTTTGCAAGGTGATACATGTTTCTATCAAATTGTAATTATTCATATAGATCATATTGATCCAGACGATAACATCAGTACGTGTGATCCATGAATATTTACTTGTATTTATCCCACTGTTACCTGTTTAATGGATCCAGTTATGAACGGGATTTCTGTTAAATTTATAGTGTCAGCCAGCTACAACGTAGAACTTCGTAGGTAAGTACGTAAGTTCAGGTAGCCACACCATAGAGACGCAAATATTGGTACTAATCACATAGTGTCAGAGATAGTGGAAGTAATAGCAGTAAAGGAGAAGATTAGGGTTCGAATATATGATTCGAGAAGTATAATTCAGTGAGACAACTTTAGAAAGAGGAAGATAGAGATGAAGAGGAATTCAGTAAATTAGAACTTGGGAGAAAACAAGGAGTGCATGAACCTGCACCATTTCAAACGATTTAGAGCCATGTCACTCAGTCTCTAACCATCGGTCCCAAATCATCAACTGATGCAATTTCACTACGTCGTCTATTGACCTGACATCCCTACCTAACGACAGCATTGCTTACTCGGTTGTCCCACGATACACGAGCAATGCTTCGGCGATACCAATGATCGAAAACCAGTAATCGACGAATTTCTTCTACTCTGGCTGTCCATGTTTCACAGACATAAAGTAGGACGGAGCGAACTACTGCACAGTACACTCGTCCTTTGGTTAGCAGACGGATATCTCGCCGACGCCACTAGTGACACAGGTTAGCAAAAGCTGATCGAGCCTTCTGTATCCGTGTTGACATTTCGTCAATCACCAGACCATCAAAACTGTTGAGACTCCCCAGATAAGTGAAGTGGTCCACACGCTCGACTACTTACTTTCCTATCACTAGTTCAGGTGTCACCGCAACCCAATCTTGAAGCAATATTTTGCATTTCGAGGGTGAGAACCGCATCCCGAACATGCTTAAATTGTTACTTTGGGTAGTCAGAAGACTGCATTTTGTCAGCGTCTTCACCGAACAGGACTAGATCATCACCATACTTTAAGTCAGCAAGCGATTTCCTGGTAAAAGGGCCATTCCTGAAAAGTCAGACGAAGTCAAAGTCAACTCTTTAAGCATGTCTACAACAAAGTTAAACAAGAGTGGAGAGAGTGGACAGCCCTGACGGACACCAGTGGAAGTAAAGAATTCCGATCACAGTTCGCTATAAGCTCTGAATCGACTAGCGGTGTTCGAATAGAGAACCTGTATAAGGTTAATGTACTTTGGTACACCTTTTAACGACAAACACTGCCACAGAACCTCAAGATCAACAGAGTCGAATGCCGCGTTAGGTCGAGAAATACTACTATTGTGGGACGTCTGAACATATGTCTTTGTTCTAGGACCTGACGAAGTGCGAATATCTGGTCTATACATCCACGTCCAGTTCGAAAACCAGCCTGGTTTTCTCTGTCTGCTCTCTACGAGCTCTAGTTAGTCGTCTAAGTAAAATCGATGATAACAATTTAGAAACTATATTAGTTAGACTGCTTCTTCGATGACTGTCACAAGAAGACTTTTGTCCTTACTTATAAATTGGGACAATCAAGGAGCAACAGTCCTCTATCGAACCCTTCCATCGGTGGCTGATAGCGATGTAATCTAGCTGGGTCCAACGTTGTGACGACTTTGGGAGTCGCCAGGACAACAGATGATTTTCCTTATGCTTAAAGTTAGTATTTGCTAGATACTGGCGGTCATCTGAGCACAGTTGCAGCGGACGGTCGTCATTTTCTGTTCTTTGAGCCACGACAGCATATCTACTTATCAGAGCGTCTAACGTTTTGGAGGAGTTCAGAAAGCTTTCTGTAAAACTCATCTTTCACCTCGACCGAACTGCAGTCAGTGGGAGCGAAGGCAAATACGACGAATAGGCAACGGCGAGTGTCCCCTTCTTTACGAGTCCTTACTGTTCCGTTTAGTCGGGCAACGCATAACGACTATCTACTGGGATCTAGCCTAGGAGAGATAGTTCTGCCCTAGGATTCAACGCTATACATACGCCAGCGAGACCTTGGGAAGCAGCATCAGGGCTTCTATACACACGAAGAGTGAATCTAGCTGGTTCTTTATTTTGACAAGGTGAAATCAAATTAATGATTCTATTTGGATCCTGTATATGCGTTTTGGAGTCGCAGCATCCATCGACGGCACGAAATTCTAGGGTCCAGCTAAGGAAGCCTCTCGCCCTATTTCGCACAAGCTCCAGATATTAGAAGTCTCAAAATGCAATTTGGAGCGTGGTTTCAGGAGATCAGGAATTGTGTTTTGTGAACTTGAAACGAATGCATCAGCGGCGCAAGGTGGCAGATGAATAAAAGAAGAGTTGGTCGAGGAGATAAGAGATTTAATAGGATGTGTAGGAGTGAGTTGATTGTAAACAAGCTGATCTCCAGTGAGGGTAGATGTCACTTCCCGGCTGCCCACACCGTCAGTCAGTCAGTCAGTTGCAACGTAGAACTTCGTACGTATGTACATAAGTTCATGTTGCCATACCACATTATTAGCACAGAGACGCAAACGTCAAATCAAATCCCATAGTGATAAAGATAGTAGAGGTATTAATGTTAATAAAGAAGACTAGGGTTTGAAGATATTATTCAAAAAATATAATTCAGTGAGATAAGGTTAGAAAGACAAAGGTAGAGGTGCTGACGAATCCAGAAGATCAGGATTTGAGAGAGCTCAAAGAGTGGATGCACCTGCGCCATTGCAAACGATTTTGAGCCATGTCGTCCAAGGTCTCCAGCCACTGATGACTTTCGTCTCGCGGACCCCAACCAGGTAGTCTACGTCTACACAGACACACATTTAGACGTCCGACAATAGTCGTGTTCCTGGACCTTAAGGCGGCATTCGACTCAGTGGATCGTGAGGTTCTGTGGCAGTGTCTGTCATTGAAAGGTGTACCAAAGAAGTACATTAACCTTATACAAGCTCTCTACTCGAACACCACTAGTCGAGTGAGAGCGTATGGCAAACTGTCATCTGAATTCTCTTCAAGTGGTGTCCGTCAGGGCTGTCCACTGTCGCCGTTCTTGTTTAACTTTGTCGTAGAGTTAACATTAGGCTCATCAGATTTTTCAGGGGTTGACCTTCTACCAGGAAAGTCGCTTACTGATCTAGAATATGCCGATGACATAGTTCTATTCGGTGAAGACGCTGACAAAATGCAGAGTCTTCTGACTACCATAAGCAACAATGCGAGCATGTTCGGGATGCGGTTTTCCCCCTCGAAATGCAAAATGTTGCTTCAAGACTGGGTTGCATTGGCACCTGAACTAGTGATAGGGAGTGAAGTAGTCGAGCATGTTGATCGCTTTACTTATCTCGGGAGTCTCATCAGTGCTGACGGTCTGGTGACTGACGAAATCTCAGCTCGGATACAGAAAGCTCGATTGGCTTTTGCCAACCTGCGTCACTTATGGCGTAGGCGTGATATCCGTTCGCTAACCAAAGGGCGGGTGTACTGCGCAGCAGTTCGTTCCGTTCTCTTATATGGCTGTGAAACATGGCCGTTAAGAGTAGATGTTCGTAAGGTTACTAGTATTCGGTCATAGATGTTTAAGAAGCATTGCTCGCATATCGTGTGACAACAGAGCAAGCAATGCTGTCGTTAGGAAACGAGTACTAGGTAAGGATGGCAGATCAACAGATGAAGTGATGGAACTTCATCAGTTGAGGTGGATGGGACATGTGTTACGTATGCCTAAACACCGACTGCCTCGACGAGCTATGTTTTGTGGTGTAGGAGTAGGTTGGAAGAAAGTTAGGGGCGGCCAGACCAAAACATGACTGCCCACACCGTGGAAGAAGTTGGATTGGCGTCGGTCATAGCGACCACAGAGCCCAAGGGACAACTGCTTGAGGCTGGTCCTTCATGGTCTTTTTAAGTGAAGTTTTTAACGTGTTAGCTCCGCTTTTCAAAAGGCCTTACCACTAGAGACAGAAATCCGTGAGGTAGGGTGAGATGTGACATTTTTAGGGTCGACCTTTTCTAACCCTTCCTTCCTTGCTGGTGAGAAGGCAGCATCGCTGCAGATGCTGGTTGTCCGAGGGAAACACCTTACTGCTGTCCCATCCCTCCACCACAGTCAGCAGTACGACTTCGCCCTCAGACCTTCAGTAGCTGCTTTTAGTCCAATCGTTCTCCAATCGACCTGTCTGGCATGGTAGAACCTAAAGGAACATATGTTCCAGCCAATATGGCTCGGTTGGGTCATCACGATAGGCAAACCCGACCACTACGTCAAGATAGCAGCTACGGTCTGGAAACTTATAGTGAAGCAAAACGAGTAATACTTTGCTACCTAGATGCATACACCATTTTTTAAAATAAGATTTCTAGTGATATTACGGTTTACCAAATTGTGTTAATGTGTATTTTTCCAGTTTGTAATATATATAGCAAACTTATATAAACGGTTGTTGAATGATTGATACATCTTCAATGTGTAAGTATTATCGGTCTCCATTTCCAAATAAATAAGTATCGAACTAAATTCTTAAAAATATATCAACACAACTCTACATGACGCGATAATAAGCTGAAACAAACAGTTAATAAAAATGGTATTTGTCACAACTACTTAAAAAATGGTAGAAGACTGGCATGATTCCTATCAGCCAATATGAACAATTTCTAAACATTATTGATCACATATTAAGACTATGGAAAAGTACGATTTGAAAACTAAAAAATATAATGTGGAATTCCAGCAACACAGATAAATTAAACTTTAGCCCACTCTGGTTGTGCTGCTGTGAAAAATGATAATTTAAATCGATAAATATTTAGGTTTGGTTTCACTTCTTGAAAGTTCTTCTGTTTGCTGAATGGTGTACCATCAGAACCTGTTTAAGTGACCTGATGTTTTTAAAAAAAGCAACCATACTGAATCTCAGGTAGTTTACGACATTCAAGGTAACAAATACTTCAAGAAAAGTAGAAAATGTACTATACTCATATACTGTGTTGAGTTAGATGTGAACATATTGACATAACATATTGACATATTGATCAATTACATATTGCTATTTTGTAATTGGTAAGTATTCATGAACCATGTATAAATTCTACTCATTACGTGACTAACGGTGCCCGGCGGTATAACTTCTAGATTAAATAACAAAATAAGTACATAACCATTGACAAATAAGAACAAAAAACCCATTCTTAAGTGTAGGCAAAAAATGTTACTAACTTTTGATTGCCTGTCAACCTTTCTTTTTAATAACTAGTTGTACAATCAGGATATTCGAGTTTCCCAAAAAAATCTGAATATTACAGAGCGCTTAAATAGTGTCTCACATCAAGACTGAATTAATTTTTTTAATTTTATCCCTGGAAATATTTTATTTACACCTTTTAATGAATTCTAGGTAGTGATAGATTGATTGAGAATAAATTCACATTCTACGGTAATTTTCGCACTAAATAATCATCAATTTTATTTCAGAAAATAATTATGTGACTAAAATGAAGAAAAGTATCGATACTTCATATCACAGAAATAGATAAATAGTTTTTAATATGTAAGAAATGGACGCTGTATATACTCACCAGGTTGTAGACAAACTGTAAGGAGTCTTTTCTGTGAATTTAGTCTGGAAACATTCGAAGTCAGACGAATTCGTAGCAGAAAGATCATTATGTGATTTCGGTAAATCTGCATTAGATGTAACAATTTGGTTTAATCGTGATCGTGCATTATCTTTATTGTTGGTTATCTGAGAGTTTTGACTTCGACAATGTGCATAGTATGCTTGAGCTAGAGGATTGTTTTGTATCAACTGCCTGAGTTGATGTACATCAGCTCTGCGTGTCCAATCTGCATAGGCAGGATTACGCAGAACAACTCGAGCCAGCCATAATACAGCTGCAGCTTTGCGTGATTCACGTTTCAAACTAATGGTATAACTGTGCATACCAGCTTCTAGAAGAAATCGTGATGTGAACTGAACTGGCCCGCTATGTGCATCTAAAACCTAGAGTATCAACAAAAGAAAATTAACCTCTCAAAAAAAATGCGTATAGAACTTCGTTTAATAGACAACTCTATATGCATGCAGTTTCATTAAGACAGCGAATATATGTGTATTTGCACATTTATACTTTTATGTATTTATAATGGAATATTTATAACTTTATAACAATCTTATGGAAAAAAATTGATTAAATTATTGAACTAGTAATTAGATTAGGCTGACTATTAATCTAATAGTTGAACAGTTCCAGTTACAAGTGAATAGATAGAAGTAATGTGTTGATTCAAGTTGAAACAGTACAAAAAGAGAAAACCAAAAGAAATGGGAAAAATACTTCGACAAAGAAAAATTAACAGCTGAGTTAAAAGGATATATTCATGAAAAGTTGCATAACGTTTACTACTTGAAAGGATCACCAGTATCCTGGATATTTTATTCAACATGACTTTATTGGCCAGTATCACGAATAATCCTAATCATCATTAGCTTTTTTACTTGACCAAATATGAACATTTTGATTAGTAAGAATCGGTAACTTTATTTGACTCATCATTCTTGTTTAAAAATCACTAGCCAAGCTGAGCATTACTCAACTTGCAATAAGCCATTGGAAAATTAAAACTAATAGTATGAATAATACTAATTGTTATTCTAAAACAAGATCACAAAAATATGAATTACCCTAGCATAGCGACGCAAAAAAACATAAGGATTTGGACGGTGTACAGCAAAATCAATCGCAATTAGTAGACGACGTTCAGCTTCAATGAATTCTTCTTTTGTATACGCGTTATCTGTTATGTACAAAAATTCATTCAAATGAGGCATTTGCCGTTCTTCATGTTTGCAAGCAACCATGATTGCGGCACAGGCCATTAATTGGATCTCACGGCTGCAGTATTTATAAAATAAAAAAGCATCATGCAAAATTCTTTTTAAATCAAATGTTAAAAGAAGTTGAAAATTTTTTTATAAATAATCAACTATATATGTCCATTGAAAACGAACATGACAATAACTTAAAATTCCAATATACATTTATGAATGTGACCACAGTACTTCGATTAAATATAAAGTGCCCAGTAAATCAATTATAACAGACGTGTAAAAGCCTATCATAAATGTATAACTGATCAAATTGCTACATGAAATGAACACAATGAGATGAAATTATCAAGATGAAGATCTGAGAGATGCAAATAGTAGAGGCATCCGTGGCAGTAGAAAATGAATGAATTCGTGAAATAATTTGACAAATGAATTTATTAGTAGATTAAATTTAGGAAGATTTAGAAGAAGAAAGAATCATTTAAAAGAATGTCTAAAACGAAGTGAAAATGAAGACACTAAACAGCCCTGAAGAATAACACGGAAGGTTACTTATTCATACTACTATTTGTTATAAATTCACAAAACCGAAAAATTAGACATTATGTTCACCAGTCGCTCTGAATTCTGTTTTTTCTGTAAAGATATAAATATGAAAAAATATATTACCTTAAGTGTCATATATTTCAATACTGACGATTAATTTTAATTAACAGATAAAACACATCAGATAAACAATCCCCTTGGATTGATCAATCTTAACAAATTTGAAGTCAACCCTCCTAACAGTTCCCAACTACTGTTGACAAATTATAAGATTTAAGTTAAACATGGTGTCAATCATGAAATCAAATGAGAATAAATAATTTGTCTCTTGGAGAACGGGATAAGTTAACAAACTTGATACGATAAAATAACCATGACTAAAATGGCATAAAACAGCTCTAATGCTAAATAGTTAGAACAAAGTATCCATGGTCTTGTTAATATTCTGATATCGGGTATTTGCATACTGATAAACTTCTTCGAATGTAGTTTAGTTTCTTTTTATTAAACTATTCACATTTTAACTAATTGTATGACTATTTGAATTAAATTAATGAGTCAACCAAATCTAATGAATAGAAAAGTAGTCTGTTGTGTACATTAGAAAAACGATTCTTGTTTAATGACGTTGACTATTCAAATATTATGTTAAAACACTGAGAACTAGGTGTAAATTTGATACATCTGTATAAAATTTTATTAAAACTAAACTTTAGAGAAAATCTAGAACTGATAATAATAAAACCAATTTATAGTTGTTAATTGAAAGAAAAAATTACCGAGCAAGTGGTTGACCACGATCTAAAAATGCATACAAAACGCCCCAAGCCAAATGTATTGTTTCATGATTCAATGCAAAATTTTCTTGGACCTCAACTAACCAATCGGCTAGTGTTGTTAACATATCAGCATTGAGATTAGGTTGTTTACCAGCAGCCAAAAAATCACTCACTTGAAAATCTTCCTAAAATATATAAATATAGAGATGCACTTAACACGATGATTAAATCAACCCAAGATACTGGCATTTAAAAATGTTCCTTGGTGCCCTAGCGGCCATCTGAATGTAAGGTATTAATTACTGACGGATTACAGTCATGAAGGTATCTATTATACTTAAAACAGTAACTCATCACTTGTAATATTGACTAGGAATCTCTTCAGATAGAACCTTACTTTTGCTTCTCTTGTCTGTTCATAGGCCATTATTCCAACAATATAGTCAGTAGCTTCCATCATGCGATCAACAGGAGAGCGATCCAAAGCTGAGATAGCGAAATCGGCCCTCCTACATTCTGCCAAAAGTTCTTCCAACTGGACACGATCAGCAAATGCAGCTCGAACAATGTCGCAGGCCAGCTGTAAAAAAATTCAATGAAATCAGTTATTAAATACATACCAAACAAAAACCAATTTAGCTTTATTATAGTGAGTCACTAACTACTACTAATACAATATTGAAATTAAGCCTTCTTGAAACCGAGTGAATTCACTGTTTCAGAGTGAAATGATATGGTTAATTTATAAAGCATAATAGTCAAGATATTTTGTTCAGTTTAATGGGCTTGATTTATGTACAGAAAAGAAAATTTTCAGTTGAAAATAGAGACATTTAAAAATTCATGTGCAAAAATTATGCATAATACTTACCTTCGATTCAAATGGTCGCCTGTCATCATCTGAATCTTCATCAATACAAGATATTTCTATCCGAGAAGTCAAGTCATATTCGTTACATCGAGGTCGTTTGGATATTGGTATTTTTCCAGAATTAAACGATTTACAAAGCGATTGTGTTAATGATTTTGATGTAAGCTTGGATTCCGCAACAATTGATTCAGTGTTTAAGCTGCCATAACCACTATCGGCACTTGATATCGAATTCAAATCACTATGACCCAATGCAGTTGAATCTAAAGATGAGTATTCAGCTTTTGTGTTTAATAATCCGTTATTTTTGTTGACTTTTGTACATAAGGTTTTTGAAATAAAAACAGACCAAGTCGGTTACTTTATGAAAAATGGACTAGCAACAAATTAGTAAGTATTAACAAAAAATATTTCCTAAACAAATCAAATAAGTGTATTTTTGGTTGAGCAACACCTGGAATAATAGCTTTTTTAGTGAACTCTCTATTTCAGTCAGTCAGCGACATCTTAAAACTTCGTAAGCAATTACATGAATTCAGGCTGCCATGCCACGACAACACACAGATGCAAATGTCGATTCATATCACAAAGTATTAAAGGTAGAAGTATTAGCAGAAACAGGAAACATTAAGGTTTGAAGATGTTATTCAAGGAGTATAATCCAGTGAAATTTGAGAAGAGAAAGATGAAGGTCAAGAGGAATCTAGATTAGAATTTGGAAGGACATAAAGAACGGATGCACCTGTGCCATCACAGACGATATTGAGCCACGTCATTCAGTCTCTAACAATCGGTTACCATTATCTTGCGGACCTGAACCAGGTAGTCTACACCTACCAACATGACTCAGTCCACTTATCAATGATTTCATGAATTTCTTCCATGCTTTGGTTTGCCGCCACTAGGTTTCTTCCAACCTATTCCTACACTCGTTCAGGCGCCGACGCAAGCCAATCCTGAAGCAAGATTTTGCGTTTCGAGAATCGCGTCAGAAACACCAGTTAACCACAAAATGAAATCATTGTAGAATTCGGTAGGAGACCAAATAATTGCTCCCATCACTAAAGATACCTTCCGAAGTGCCAATTAGTCAAATTTATCTTTGGCATCGTGAACAATACGTGGTGTCATCAGCAGTCTAAATTTCTTTGCACTGGTATCGTGTTCACTTTATCAAACAGACAAGAATTTTTCTAGCGAGTTGCATCATAGGATCACCGGACTTTCGGCTAAATATGAAAACCCGAATAAAAGTTGGAACAATTTGCACCCAGGGGAATATCTTTACCATATAATTTGGACTACTTTGGAATACCAACTACTTTGCCGTTATATTTAAAACTCAACTGTACTGTTATTGTATATGTTTGAAGTAAACCTAGTATGGTAAACATACTAGTTTATATTTACTGCCTTTACGACTGTCACAAGTGAACTAAATATGTATGGTACATCAACAAAAGTCTGTAAAATATGTGCAAATAAAAGTGATAATTTGAATGGACACAGTAACATTTCAGATTAATAAATGCTGAGTACTCCTTTTCTTCTCAGTATACAAGATTTATCCAATTTTAGTGGATACTGGAAGCTTAAGAGTCCTGTCGATTCTGTAGTAGCTGACAAGAAATTAACGCAACAGTTGTCAAGGGAAAATCTGACAAGGAACTTTCCAGCTAGTTCATCACAACACATAACAGCAGCTATTCGTTTATCAGACATTCATTATTTTAGATGACACACGAAAAACGAGAGGACTAATATTTTACTCCATCACATACCAACAGAAACTTACATCTAATCCTTGATTAGCACAGATAAAGAACGACAAATGATGATCTGATAGTATGACTCTTTATACAACTGCAAAATAAGTTATTGTATCGTAAGAAAAAGGTGGTTTTAGGGAAACCCCGACAGATGTTCGGGAACCTTAGGAAAAAGTTTTAGACCTGGACACAGACCAGATGTTCACACTTCGTCAGCTTATGGTGAACTGTCACCGGAATCGATTACTTCAGCGATGTTCGTCAGGGCTGTCCAATTTCTACATTCTTGTTTACCTTTATCATTGACGTGCTTTTAGGTAGGACACTTTTATTATGTGACTTTTCAAGAGTTGAACTTTTACCAGGAGATTCACTTCTCGATTTAGAATATGTCGATGACATAGTTCTACTTGAAGACGCTGACGGAATGTAGTCTTCTGGCCAGTTCAAGCAGCAATGCAAGTATGTTTCCGATGCGATTCTCTCCTTCGTAATGCAAAATCTTGTTTCAGGATTGGCTTGTGTTGGTGCCTGAACAAGTGATAAGGAGTAACGCAGTTAAGTGTGTTGATCGCTTCGCTTGTCTCAGGAGTCTCATCAATGCTGATGGCCTGGCGACTGACGAAATCTCAGCACGGATACAGAAGGCTCGATTGGCTTTTGCCGACTTGCTTCAAGTGTAACATATGCCCTACCACTGAAAACCTAGACGAGTAGTGTCGTCGGGATTAGAAGTAAAGTGGTAGAAGCGGCGGCCAAACCAAGATACAGTAACGATCTATGAAACCATTGACTATTGGACTGAGCCGTCAATAAATGTAGATTAACAGGTTGGGGCCCAAAAGACAATAGTACCCGATGGTTAGAGACTATGAATGAAATGGCTCAGAATCATTTGCAGTGACGCAGATGCATCCTTCCTCTATCTTCCTCATGATGTTTTTGTCTTTTTTAATTTAATTCACTGAGATATACCACTCGAATCATTTCTTTGAGCCTTAATTTCCAATACCGCTAATACTGCCACTACCTTTACTACTATGGGATTTGAATCGGTGATTCGATCTCTCTGTGGTAATGTATTATGGCGACTTGGACAGATGAACATACCTACCAATTTCAACGCTGTAACTAACTGGCTAGCCTTAGAAAAGACTCTGTCCTTGGTCATCCAGTACTAGGGTAATGGAGCGGATGTCTATTAGTTCGGATTTATCCAGCATGTCACAGATTTGAATCGTACGTCATCTATCTCAGTATGAGAAGACTTGCGATACCATGAGCCATACAATGTCTTGTAGCTGGACACGGAATCTATCCTTATCAAATAAGTCTTTTCAAAAGGCTATGAGACAATAGAAGAATAACAACCTATTTACAAATCAGTGGGTAAAGTTGCAACTAGGAACTATTTCTTAAATATTATGTTTGTGATAGTGACTGCTGGTGTTTAGATACTCACACAAACAATTATTGAGTTATCCACCTGCTTACTCCTGACCGTAGCTGTTTCCTTGACGTGGTGGTCGGGCTTGCCTATCGTGATGACCCAACCGAGCTATACTGGCTGGAACATATGTTCCTGCAGGTCCTACCATGCCAGACAGGTCGATTGGAGAACGATTAAACTAAAAGCAGCTACTGAAGGTCTGAGGGTGAAGTCGTACTGCTGACTGTAGTGGAGGCGTGTGACAGCAGTAAGGTGTTTCCTTCGGACAACCAGCATCAGCAGCGATGCTGCCTTCTCACCAGCAAGGAAGGAAGGGTTAGAAAAGGTCGACCCTAAAAATGTCACACCTCCCCTACCTCACGGATTTCCGTCTCCGGCGGTAAGGGTGCCCACTAAGGGCTTATAAAAGCGGAGCTAATACTCAAAAAATCCTTCATAAAAAGCCTCTGCGTGACCGGCCTCAAGCAGTTGTCTCTCGAGCTTTGCGGTCACGCACCCAGGTCTCTAAGACCAACGCTAATATACCTTTTGTTTCAAGTTCCTCAAGAAACAACCTTCCACGGTGTGAGCAGCCGGGAAGTGACAACCGCCGTCATACCCGTAAAAGCACACGAGGCCAAATTGGTCGAAATCAAATCCTTCCTACACCCACACATACCTTTCTTCTCTCCACAACTAACTCTACCCACATTCCCCTATCTGACTGCACCGCTAATGCAAACGATGCGAGTTCACGAAACGTCATTCCTGGTCTCTAGAAACCTCGTTCTAGTCTACATGTTGGAGCATTTAATGTACGGATATTGTGTCAAATAGGACAACAGGCCTCATTAGCTAGGACTTTAGAATCTCGCTCAATCGATGTATGCTGCGCTCTTCGTGTATCTGGTAGCCCTGATGCTGCTTCCAGGGGTCTTGCTGGCGTAGGCATAGCATTGAATCGTAGAGCTGAACAATCTGTCCTCGACTGGATCCCTGTAGATAGTCGCTTGTGCGCTGTGCGACTAAACGGGACAGTAAGGACTCGGAAAGATAGGGACAATCGCCGTTGCCTCTTCATCGTATCAGCCCATGCCCCCACTGACTGCAGTTCAGACGAGGTTAAAGATGATTTCTACAGAAAGCTTTCGAACCTCCTCCAAAAAGCTAGGCGCTCAGATTTAGTAATAATGGCTGGTGACTTTAATGTTCAGATAGAAGTTCGTGCTGATGATGTTGTTCAGAAGAACAATGAAAGCTTCACAACCGAAACACCCAGCTCAGAGAACCAAACACCACCACAATCATCCACCTGAGCTACAAGTTTTCTCCACCATCTCAATAACAATTACATCTCTGTGCTAATGTAGTATGGAAACAAGAACTGATGTACTGACGTACGAAGTTCTACGTTGCATCTGACTGACTGACTGACAAACTTTCAGACGTCCCACAATAGTAGTATTTCTCGACCTAACGCGGCATTCGACTCTGTTGATCTTGAGGTTCTGTGGCAGTGTTTGTCGTTAAAAGGTGTACCAAATAAGTACATTAACCTTAAACAGGCTCTCTATTCGAACACCGCTGGTCGATTCAGAGCTTATAGAGAACTGTGATCGGAATTCTTTACTTCCACTGGTGTCCGTCAGGGCTGTCCACTCTCTCCACTCTTGTTTAACTTTGTTGTAGACATGCTTATAGAGTTGACTTTGACTTCGTCTCACTTTTCAGGAATGGACCTTTTACCAGGAAAATCGCTTGTTGACTTAAAGTATGGTGATGATCTAGTCCTGTTCGGTGAAGACGCTGACAAAATGCAGAGTCTTCTGACTACCCAAAGTAACAATTTAAGCATGTTCGGGATGCGGTTCTCACTCTCGAAATGCAAAATATTGCTTCAAGATTGGGTTGCGGTGACACCTGAACTAGTGATAGGAAAGTAAGTAGTCGAGCATTTGGACCACTTTACTTATCTGGGGAGTCTCAACAGTTTTGATGGCCTGGTGATTGACGAAATCTCAACACGGATGCAGAAGGCTCGATCAGCTTCTCTAACCTGCGTCACTAGTGGCGTCGGCGAGATATCCGTCTGCTAACCAAAGGACGAGTGTACTGTGCAGTAGTTCGCTCCGTTCTACTTTATGGCCGTGGAACATGGCCAGTAAGAGTAGATATTGGTAGATTACTGGTTTTCGATCATAGGTATCTCCGAAGCATTGCTCGAGTATCATGGGACAACCGAGTAAGCAATGCTGTCGTTAGGAAACGAGTACTAGGTAGGGATGGCAGGTCAATAGGTGTATTGAAACTTTAGTTGAGGTGGTTGCGAAATGTGTTTCGTATGCCTAACCACCGACTGCCTCGACGAGCTATGTTTTGCAGTGTAAGAGTAGGTTCGAAGAAAGCTAGGGGAGGCCAAACCAAGACATGGCAGAAATCTATGAAGTCACTTACAAGTGGAATGACTGATGTTGGTAGACAGAGGCCACCTGACTGTCGTCCGCGAGACGAGTGTCTCCAATGGTTAGAGACCTTGAACGATATGGCTCAAAATCGTTTGCAATGGCGCAGGTGCATCCACTCCTTGTGTTTTTTAACTCAAACCTTCTGAATTCCTCTTCATCTCTATCTTCCTCTTTCTAAGGTTATGTCACTGAACTAAACTACTTGAATAATATCTCCTGTCCCGAATACTCTCCATAACTGCTTATTCTTCTACTATCTCTACCACTATGGGATTTGAACTGAAAGTTGCCTCTGTGCTAATGCTGTGTGGTAACTTGGACAGATGTAAGTGCGTACGAGATTCGACGTTGTAAGTGACTGACAGACACCTCCTCACAAACGATGATGGCACAAAAATAACTTGAGGACAGGCAATCTGACTAGATTTGTTTTATCTTACCATTACTGTGCGACTAAACGCAATCTAACAGAAAGCCTTTAACTACCCATCTTTTTGAATTTGCTTTGACATCCAAAAGAGCAAATTACAGCTAGAACGGAACTCTTATAGTTATTCCCTATATCTAAGAAAAGCCTATGATGCTAAGATACTATGAATTCGCAAACACTTTCATGTAGCGCTATTTTATACTTGACTATGGATTAAACAATAGTTAATGCGTTTTTGGAGAGGAAATAATCTCATATAAAAAACTTCAGATTATTTCGTTTTCGAATGAATTTTGAGTCATTCTCAAACAGATGATGTACATCATATCTAAAAAAAACCACATAGTACTCGAGAATGACAGCTAACCATGATACTAACCACGGGTCTGAGTCATATAAAGTGAAGATACTTAATTTGCATCTAGAAACTACTTACTTGGATTGAATTGAGAGCAGATACGTATCTGTCGTGTGGAATCGTCCTAGTGCAACATAAGTAACAAAACGTGAGATTTACCCGTAGCTTGTTGGTCAAGTTCCCTAGAACAGTACGGTCGCCCATCAGCCTTTTTGATTCATACATTGGAATACATTTCTGAACCACATTTTCCTGTTTGTGAGAGTTTTTTGACAAGTGACAGATGTTTTGACAATCCAAATCCATTACATTAGCTGTCCCAGCAAATAGGTATGGAAAAATGAGTATGAGTAAAACAGGATATTAAAACACTTTCCGCTACTAAATCGTAAGATTTTGGGGATCTTAAAACCAGATAGGGTATAAAAGAAGGTACAAGTTTATCTCAACATGGATATCGCAGCTGATCTACGAATTTCCAATAAAGCGGCAATTTAGTATTTTTGTTATTCTGGGTAAACTAAACAAACAACATAGTGGCATAAACTTGTATATATGGCTTTTTAAAATCGCTAGAGCAGTCCTAAAAGTCGTTCTTTTCGTCAATATCGCTCGAATTTCACTACTGATATACTATAAACTCAACCACCGGTCTTAAAATTATCAATAACTTGTATAAGTCATGCAAAGTTTAAAATGTCCTAATGGGTCAAGCGGTTGCAAACAGAATATAGGGGGTTTCTCCTGACCGGCTCTCATTTCTATCGGTAAATGGTGACCTATCCCTCGTACAAATTCACTAGGATTTTTTCCTCCTTATTTAACATAAGTGTCGTTCCTGTACATGAAAATGCACCTATATCGTTTTGCTGTTATTCCCAAGCCTGTACGATCGTAGATCAAATGTTACCGCAGACATATTTCTGTTAAAGGTTAAGAAGTTAGGTTCTCAAATAAATCGTCGACTCTTTTGCCTACTTACAAAGCGTGATTCCTATGCATGCCTGAGTCCTACGCATTCATTCATATCCATGCCATGAACCAGTGATGGCACGTAGATTCTACAACGTACGCTTACCAATGCATCTTTCCGACAACCCCATGTATGTTCGGTACGGTAATCAAAGCAGTCACAAAAGAGTCATTCGCGATGTGCATGACGTCAGTTCAAGTCGTTTCCGTCCAATTCTGGTGGATCCTCTTCATTGAAACTTCCCAGCTAAATTTGCGATCCTCGATTCCAGCCCCATCCTTAGTTCCTTCACTCAGTTTTATTATAGAAAGTAACGAATATTTCAAGCTTTTTCGATTATATTGTACCTTATTTGAAGTTCACTTTTATATTTCCACTTTTGCAATCGATATAGACCTTGTCGTTTTTTTACACATAATCCCAACTTCCAGGCAACGAGTGATTATACATCTTTGTCAGTGCCTCCTCTATAATAAATTTACAATTTCTAATTGAAGCAGAGAAGCGGTGCTCACGTATCTAGGTAAGGACAAAAAGATCAGACAAATGATAAGCATCTCCACCGTCAAACTAGCCAAGAATTTGTTTTAGAGTAATAGCAACAAGCTTGGTTTGATGTTTCTAAAACATCATGTCAGTGTTTAGGTTAATTGGAGATACTAATATAAAGCTTGTGCAAGTTCAATCGTTGACGTGATTTGAAAGCTATGACCTGCGGATTCATAAGCACTTCTCAGACAGAATTTCTGAGGAGTTAGATTCACTGGTGGTTGCACTGTTGGGATCTAGCAACTTTAACATCCAGATTTCAGCTTGTAGCAGAGAGTTTAGATGGAGGTCGCAGACATAACAGTCAATAAATGTAGACCAGTACTTATGTACGTCACTCTTCGAAGACCTTGAATATCTGTTTTTGTCTTTTTTGTAATTGCTGTCATTAATGTAATCGGAAGTAAATCAGTCTGTCCCAACATATCATCGTCTGAGCTATTCAGCTCACATATCTTCACTACACAGCTTTTCTAGAAGCTGTCCAATGCAGATCACCAAATGCTAAGCTTATATCGAAATCCATGACTTGGAATGTATAAGTATATTTGATTGCGTTATTTGAGGATTCATTGCTTGGTTTAAAGAACAATATTTCTTCGCCAAGACTGGTGTGAAAATCCATGTACGGTGTCAGAAAACACAACTTAGGTGTAATATAAAGCTTTTAATATTGTTTTTCAAACTTATATTCATCTAATTAAAAATAAGACTGTTTTCTAGGCGTTTGTCCGTTTCCGATAAATACGTTTGTTTCGGTTGAAATTCTTTGCGGTGTAAACTATTTGCGTTGTAGTTAGATGGGTTATAGTAGTCTAATTCTACTTCTCATCGCTTTTCGACATCAATAGATACTGGTGTAAACCTTACAGCTTTTATTATGCATGCTCCCATACCTGTGCTTATAACTTAAATATATCTTTCTTCTGCGTAATCAAATATTAACGTTGTTGTTGACTTTTAAATAAGTCTAATAAGTCCAGTAAAGACAGGGCCAGGAAATTCAAGTTATTTCCCTGGTCAAAAAGGAAGTACTTCACTGACAAATTATGGACGTCATTCAGTTAGCTACTGATCGAGAGTTTTAGAAAACAGAACAAACACAGGCAGTAAAAAATCTACACGTCAGAAGACATACGGTGAATATCATACTCTGAGTAAAGCTGTTATTAACAATAATTTAATTAGGATTACACAAACCAAAGGATCGAACGAAAATACTTTAAGTGTGAATGTAAAACCAGAGTTTTTTCACTGTATGGAATGCAAGCATTAAGAATTTTCACAAACTAGCACATTCATGCATAAAAACACACAGAAATATACGTCTTACGCTATGTTCTACCACTGTAATTTCAATTCTTTAAGAACCAAGTTATCTGGACACTCAGTGAAGGAAACAGGACTCCATCCGCTACTCACTTGGATAGTATTTTTGCAACCGGAATGATATAACCTGTTCATTCGTATAAAAGCTGAAATTCCATCACTTGTTCGCAGATTTTTTGGAAGCTTCGCTCCATATCCATCTTCAAACTTATCATGACTGAAACCGAACTACGTAAACAACTGCGAGTAGAGTGATGTGGTTCACTGATTACAGTAGTTTACATTTCTTCCCAGAAGTTTTTTGTAAGAGCATGGTTATATTTGCTTTAAAATCAACCAACCACACACCATTGGACAACACTCCCGTTCTCGTCTGTTTATCACTCCTTATTACCCTTTGAGCTGACTCAGATTAATCTCAAGACTGTTTGTTTTCTTACGATTATTTTGTTTCTTACATATCCCACAGGTTCAAGGAATATTTATTCATCGTTTCAATTATGGTGGTCTTGAAATTGGTATACTGTTGTTTGGCTGCTATCTTCGGATCATATTTTCATTGTGGATCAGAAGCAGATCTGCCCTCAAGAATGATTCGCTGATAATAATTTGCGAATTTCTTGTATGACTCATAAAGGTGACTGATGACCTTTAGGGCGAACTGAGTGAATTTATAATTTCATTATTGATTCATCGAGATAATTTATGCAAATAACTGACAATGATATATATATGGTTATTTTAACTAAAGACTTCTTTTATCAAAAAGACTTTCACGGGGTATTTTATTTTATTGTACCTACATTTTTTATAAAAGCAACACTTCATCGTTAGGTTCATCTAGCCACCATAGTAAAGGAAACTTGCGGGGCATTACTATAGATTTAGCTTGCTTCAATTTGAAAGACAGTGGCGCATGTATGTTGAGACACTTTCTTTTCGAATTGAATAACTTTTCGTTAATTAGTTGCTTCTCAGTCCATTTGAGCCTAACATTATTTGATTAAATATTTCTGTCCCTGCCAAGCCATTAGTTTTCTTGGTCTTGAAACAGCCACCCCAAAAACAACCTTATTATAATTAGGACCCTGATTTTATCTATGATGGGATAGGTATGTACTGACCCATGCAATAAAATACAATTATAGAGTGAAAAATAATGACCCAAAAACTGGATCTTATTTCAATTAGAAACGCTAATAAGAATGCTATTATGAGGGTTCTGATCATAATTAGGAAAGGTTTTCGACAACCTTGGGTCACGTTTCAAATTTATATTTGAGTCCGCAGAATTAATGAAACATCAGTATACTGATGCTAAAGGCTTTTTCAAGCTCAATCGTTTTCCATCTTTGATGATTCGTCGGACATTGAACTGTTTCTATCACAGTACAGGTTAATAACACCAACGGATTATATCGTAATACACGGGATAGGAACTTACAGTAGTATAGTCGCAGTCTCCATACGTCAACTCGCGCCAAACAGCTTGAGTTCAGAAATACTCTTATTCGCAAGAGTTTTTTCTTTAATTCACCAGAGGAATAGGATACTCAGACTACAAAGATAAATCTGATCAGGCTAAGAAATTGTCAGGCGATTACCTTGAAGTTACATTACGTAAGCTAGGCTTTCACAGTACTCAAATGTGCAGCATCGGATTAAGATGTTCTCGCGATACTGAATATCGATCTATTCTTTTCAAATAATCATGCAGATGGGGAATTATCGAAACTTGAGTGCATCATAATAAAACACAACCTGTCATCTGGAAGTCCATAAATACCGTTCATGTGAGAGCCAGAAAGAATGCGCACCAGTCACTCTTTAATAAATGCCGAATGTATTTATACTCTGAGTTAAGGACTTATGTTCCCTCTGTCATAATCGGACAAAGTATAAAAGATTATGCAAACCTGCAAACCACGTATCACAATCAGTATCACTGACTATCCCACCCGATTTCATAAACTTGGACTTGATCCACTCTGGAAAAGAAGGCTTAAGTTTAATGTACTCCTCTAATTTAAGTTCCTGTACAAACTCAATAGGCATGGCAGATAGACTACACGCGTTTGTAAAAGTTCTTAATTAACCCCTCGGTCTCACTGATTCGTCTGAACGAGTGAACCCACTTGCACTCTGCTTCCACATTATTAGCTCTTTACACGTTTAATCTATGCCGAATTCAGAGCTGCATTATTTATATTTTCATTCAAATTAGTATTAAATTCTTATAGTTGGCTACAAAACTTAATTTTTACTTGAAATAGACATGTTACTCACTGCGTTGATGGATACTGTTCAACTGATACTTGTTGATAAGAACACACTCTAGTGCTATTATCATCCGTCGCTAAAATATCATTTGCTGCCTAACATTTAGTGATGGTTAACCCATAGCCTGAAAAGCCATCACCCAGTTCGGATTGGTTCAAACTTTATCAGCTCCCAT